AGCACAAGTAGGAGGAATGTTAATGATGATACACATAGCAGCTGCCTTCCCAGTGAACTGACTGGGAGCCAGGCCCCGTGTGGAGCCTTGACCTTCACCGGCCCGCTGAGTCCTCCCCAGAGCCCTGGAAGGGAGGGGTGCTTGTATCCTCATTTCACAGATGGGGAACGTAAACCTTAAGGAGGTTAAGGAACTCACCTAAATCACGCAGCTGGGAGGTGGTGGCGTTGGAATCCATGGCCCAGGCTTCTCCAGTGCCCCACATGCCTGTGGTTCTGAGCAAGGATCCCAACATCACATAAGGACAGAGAGCGGCTCTGAGGACAGAGCGCTCAGTCAGCTGATTATAAGGCCCTCTGTCCAGACGTGCGTCCCCCAGATACCTGCATGGCTCCTGCTCCGTGTTACTCACATCTTTCCTCAGTCACACCCTTCCATGGGGACCTTCCACATGCTCCTTTTTTAAATTTAAATCCCTGGCCCTGGGCTCCCTCTCTTTCCCTGTGTGCCCTGTTTTCTCCATTCCACTAATGGATATTTGACAACTCCTCATCTTGCCTAATGGGTTTGCTGATCCTCTGTCTCCTCCCCCTCAAATGGAAGCTCCAGGAGGCGGAGGTTACTGTCTGTCCCCATCACAGCTTTATTCCCTAGCACTTTGAAACATACCCAGTTTGCTCAACAGTTAGTGGAGTGTGTGTGAATGATCTAGCAATATGAACAGACAACCTTAACAACGCAGGGGTTGTACCAACAACGTACAATACGTGTTCAAAGGACTCATGAGCAAAGAAAAGGCAGTAACCTCCCAAGAAAAGCAAATCTCTGAGCTACTGTGGGTTAAGATGGAGAAGGAAGTGCAGAGGACAAGGAAGAAGAGATTGTAAACAGTGACGTTAAAATCTGCTTTGAAGGTGGTAGAAGGTAGAATGAATATCAAGCAAAGTCACTAATAACAACGTGGACTGTAAACTTGAATTGCTTTCCAAGAGTTCACAGGAAATGGTCAAGAGATCAGTGAGGGAAGAGAGAACAGTGATGGAGCATGGGAAGAGGTCATGTGACCCTAAGGAGAAAGCGGAACAGACAAGGCAGAACCACTATAAAAAACCAAACAGGGACGCCAGTAGCAACGAGCACACCCAACACCCAGGTCTTGGTTCCCATAAATGGACCCAGGGCTCCTGGGAGAAATGGCTGATCCCAGGACTAGGTAGAAATATTCAAGATGGAGCATCTTGTGCCAGAAAGGGAGGACGTACACAAAGAAAACCACAATGTGGGGCTCTGTCGAAGGGCACTGGGCCACCAATGGAACAAGTTAAGCAATAAAATAAAGGAAGTAATATTGACTTCTAACCCAAAGAAGAAAATCCATATGCCCAGTCCATACTGATATAAATAAATCTGAATAAATAGATGGGAGATAACAGACTAATCTACCATGCAGAATTCCACGTAATTGATGTAGAACTTTCACCCTCAAGGAGGTGGGGTATAGCTCCCCAAACCGTAAGTGTGGACTGCACACAGTGACTTCTTTCCAAAGAGTACAGTATGGAAAAGGGAAAAAAGCAATTACATTACAGTGAAGAAATATGGCAAACACACCTCAGCCCAGGTGATGAAAGTGAACACCAATGGTGGTAAGTCGTGTGAATGGTATGGACCCTTGATGTGATAAAAATGGCACTCTACCTCTGTGTCTTCCTTCCAAAGGCATATAACTCCAGTCTAAGAATGAGAGAAACATCAGACAAATTCCAGTGGAGGGACACATTACAAAATACCTGACCACTGCTCCTCAAAACTGAGGGTCATCAAAGGAGCAAAGTCTGAGAAACTGCCATAACCAAGAGGACCCAAAGGAGACGTGTTGACTGGGTGTGATGTGTCCTTGGGGTGGGATCCTGGGATGGACAGATGAGATTTGGAGGAAAAAATGAGAAAATCTGAGTCAAGTACGGACTTTAAAAGATGGTAATGTATCATTATTGGTTTATTAATTGTAACAAATGTCCATACTAATTAAGATGCTAATAACAGGGGAAAGTGGGTGTGGGGCACATGGGAATGCTTTCTACTGTCTTTGCAATTTCTCTGGAAATCTAAAACTTCCCAGATGAAACCTGTATTAATAAATGAATAGGAGGCAAATGTAAGTGGGTTCAAGAGAGATCACACAGATTGAGCCTCACAGAATTGCTGGTATTCAACCATTTTTGAGCTGGGAAATCAACAGTGTCATAGGGTTCCGTCTAATATATGTGAAGACTAGCCAGGCTCTCTGTTCTAGTAGAATCAGTCGAAAGAGAATCACATTTAGACACATTTTGGCAAAAGCTTTGAGATACAGACATACAAGTATCTAGGCCAGAAGAAAACAAACCAGTTTTCCCCAGAAAAACCAGCCACCCTCCGAATCCTCTGCAGCAGCAACTTCCAGAGACAACGGAGCAACCAGGAGACATTCTTCCATGTGTGGGTCTCGGCGAGGGACCAGCCACATGGTCTCCTCCAAACTGATCCTTGAAGCCCCGGCAGCCATCCGAGAGCAATCGCAAGCTGTGGAGTTGAGGTCCTGCTGGGAGTGGCTGAGCAGGGGCTGCCAGAGCCTGTGAAAAGAGCTCCCGGGAAGTGACTGCTAGGCCAGCGCACACGGGTGCAAGCGTTATTGTAGGAAGCCAGTAGATCGGGTGCAGAAATAGATGCTGTAATGGTAAGTGAGACCTGGAAATCCGGATTAGACCAGCAGGGCCTAAGAAGTGCAAGGCCAGAAAAAAATGGGTGTGAAGCTCCTGATCTTAAGGAGAGGAACTCAAGGGACTGTTTTTGCTCCTGAGTTTTATCTTCGAGAAAGTCAAACTGAAGTATACCCAGAAAAGCCTAATGGTGAGTGTGCTCTAAAGGAAACAGAGTCTGAAGCTTCTGAAACATGGCAGGAAATGAAAACAAAGCAAACCTAGTCCAC